GAGACATGGCCGTGGCCTCTCCCGCCTGCGCCACGGCGGTGGGGCCGCCGCCGCTCTCCGAGATGCCGTTCGAGAGGGGGCCGCGCTCGGTGTAGCCGAGGCTGTCGGTGAACACCAGGCGCTCCCTGCCAGAGCCCTGGCGGGGCTCCACGGTCTCCCACCTGCGGAGCAAGGCGGTAGCCGTGAGCAGGCCAACGCTTGCGCCGGCCCGGCCGCGACAAGGTAACCGCCACAGACACTGCGGTCTCAGGCCGGCCGACCCCCCCTCGCCTTGATGCTGACGCAGCCGCTCCATTTTGTGTTACTGTCTCTGTCATCCCCTTATCCGGTTGCAACAAAGCAAGCAGGCAGCGACCGTGCTTTGAGACCCCCCATTTTCACACCTGGAGGTGGTGGAGGCTGACGAGGTGCGGAAGGGGTTGCCGGTGTTGTCGTTGTTGGAGCGGATCATGGGGATCGCGTTCACCGCCGACATGGCGCGGAAGCCGAGCTCGGTGGTGGCGATCGCGGTGGGGCCGAACAGGCTCAGCACGTTGGCGGGCGGGAAGCCGCCGGTGCTGCGCACGCGCGCGCCGCGGTCCTGGCCGCCCTGGGACAGCGCCTGGCTGCGGCCGGAGGGGTAGGTGTCGCCAGCGGCGGTGACCTGCGCGCCCTGGTTCTGGTAGATGCCGATGGCGCGCGCATGGGACCACGCCTCGGCCTGCGGGACAAGGAAATTGGTCGGGATTTTCAGGTGTCACGTCCTGCGAGCACGACCGTTCCCATTTCATCTCAGCGCACGAGGAGGCAGGGGTGGGGCCAGGCGCGCTTGGAGCTTGGGCAGAACCGTCTGGCTGTCTGATTTGCTTGGTTGCGCCACTCAGGCAGGCTCAATGGGGGTTCGGCGACGCAAGGAAGAGGGGAAACGCCCGCTGGGGCCAGTGACGCGGGGCGCGCTCAGCCGGCGTGCAGGTGCGAATCTGCGCGTGCCGCCGTCCCCCCGCACCTCGCGGGCGTGCGCGTAGATCTGCACCGGGTTCCTGTACTGGTTGCCGCCCTGTGTGGTGTAGCTGTCCGTCACCTGCCGCAGGCCGCGGCCCACCGCGCCCTCCACCTCGGCCACCGCCCCAGAGATGAGGTCGAACAGGGGGCGGCCCGCGCTGGCGCCTGGGGAGGGGGGGTGCGTTGGGGCATTGTGGTGAGAAGTGGTATGGGTCTGAGGCGGCGCGTGCGTGCGAGGCAGGCTGTAGTGCTGCGTTTGCGTGGCGCCACTGGCAGGGCTCGTGGGTGGCGGGTGTTCCATGCACATGTAGTCGGGCGAGCACGCATGGCGACACACACTGCGCGGCGCCGCGCCGCGCCCCCCCTCCGCACCAGAGACCAGGATGAACGCCGACGCGAGGATGAAGCTGACCCTCGCCATGGTATGCCGGGTGTTTGAGCTGCAGAACAGGGGAGGGACAGGGAGGAGGGCTTCCGATTTCAGTGCATGCAGGCGGGTTGATCTTTTCTCAGGGGTGACACCGAACTGCTGCTGCTGCCGGGCGCATCAGACCGCTCCTCTCGCACAATGTACGATCTTTGAAACAATCACAGGATATCTGCAGAGTTGGGGCCCCAACGGACACAGGCACGGTGATAGCGCAGCCACCCTGCACGGTGGCTTGGACCCCCGCGCAGAGGGGTACACCGCATCGCACCTTGCGCAAGTGGTCTCAAATAGAACAATACTTCAATCAGCGCCGTGCGATTGGGTGAAGAGCGTGTGGATTGGCTGGTCGTCGGCGTGGGTGAACTCGGATAGTGGAGCGGGTCACAGATTTCGGGTAGTGATTCAGCAAGTAAAAGAGTGTACTTACCATCAAATAACCTAATTTGAAGTGGCACGTCCAGGATGAAGCCTAGTTCAAGTGGATTGCGTTGGTGCGCTTGCCGACCACCAATGGCACACAGCTACATCGCTTGCTCAGCGGATGGCCAGAGCCGTGCTAAATTGCTTGCATTCCATGCCACACCACGAATCCTTGAATTTCAGAGGTTCCCCGGGCAGGGTAATAGTCTGCACAGCGAGCACATGCGCGCGTGCCCGGAGACAGCTGGCCAGCTGCACAGGTGGCAGCAGCCCAGCAGCTGCCACTTGCCTGGCGCCAATTTCGCTTATCGACCATGTACGGATGCATGATTGGCTGCCTGTTGATGACTGCGTGGGTGGAACGCTTGCCTGCTTGCCTGCCCTGACCACTGGGGGAGGCGGCGGGCTGTCGCGGCGGCTGTCACGGCGGCTGTCTTGCGGCTGCAGACGCGGTAACAAATAAGTAATCATCATCATGACTGCATTGATCTATATTCCTCTCTTACTGCGGCAACTTGCATGTTTCCAATGCTCGCTGATTATGCCATCGTTGCAGTGATTTGAGAATGGCTGTTGGGTCCTTGACCCGCGTGCTCGACCCAAGACGATATGATGCCAAGGGCACGCATCGTCCTCGTGTGCTTTGAACCCATAACTTCAGAGCCGCAATCGCGAGCCGCCCGTCTGGATGAAGTGATGAGTGGGGGCCTGGTTGGGCCCACAATGGCCATAACCATCCTGGCCATTCTGCAGCCCTGCACTGCATGGTATGCTGCGGAACGATGCCTGACTAATTTGTGATGCTGCCTTACTTCCCTGGCTCATCCCAACACGGTGTGCCTGGCAAGAGCAGCCAAGAAACGTCTTTAAAGCAGTGCTGCCTGTCACTTGTGAACGTAAAACACCCAGTTTTTGCTACCAGCGGCACCACAAAACTGTGTATGCTGTGCATGCACCCCCCTCTCAATCCCAAGGGGGGGGAGAGCGCCCATCTGCCCGTGTAGCCACCTATAGTATGCAATGTTTGACTTTGTCATGTAGCCATCTCAGGAAGCCTGATGGTCTCTCCGTTCCAGCGAGGGAACACGGGCCGTCGCACCGCTGCTGCAAGCGCTCATTGGTGTGCTCGCCATGCATTGTTACCTTGCAGCAGACGAGCTGGTGCATGCACAGCAACGTAGCGGTGTGCGCAAACGGAGCTCTGATGCCTGATATCTATGCACAACTTTCAAGCACAAGCGCCACGGTGAACCCTCAACAGACCCACAGGCACGTGGACCAACCAAACCAACAAGCCGTCAACAGTCCACAACTGTACAGTCACAGAAAGTAAGTTCAACACTCTGAAACCGTAATCCAGCCCCTTGCGCAATCTGCACTGCAGGATCCCAACCCGACCAAACGCTAAATGCGCCGTCACTCAGCCGAATGTTTGAACAGCCCCTCACGTGGCTGCCTGCACGCCTTCCCCCTCCTCTTGCCCATCCTGTTGCTTCTGATCATGCTGCTGCTGCTCCTACTTTTGCTGATCCTCCTGCTCTTGCTGCTCTTGCTGCTCCTGCTGCTCCTGCTGCTCCTGCTGCTCCTGCTGCTCGCCCTCATCCGGCTCCTCCCCGTCATCCTCTGGCAGGTACTCCATGGCCACGTCCCACCTGGACACAGCAGTGTGCAAGGCAGGGTTCAGGCTTGCCTCCAGGGCTCTGTGCATGTGCAAGTGTAAAGCCTTGTGGGGAATTCGGCGCCAAACAGCGGTTTAAACACAGAAGTCAGCCGCTGGCGCGGCCAGCTAGGCGGGGTGAATTCCGCCGCCACAAGCAGGGCCAGGAGGGCAGTGCTTGAAAGGCGGGGGCCGCCGCTTGCTGCGGGGGCAGGCGGAGGACGGGGCGCGCGGCCCGCACCTGCTGCCGGGGGCGGCGGCGCTGACGAACTTGACGAAGCGCATGAGGCCGGCGTCGCGCAGCAGCAGATTGAGGCTGTTGGCGGCCGCCGGCACGTTAATCACCCCCGAGTCATCGTTCGCGTCCTGTCGAGAGCGAATGACATATTGAGGTTGTCACGCGGGGGGGCGGCACCGTCTAGATTTGCTGGCGGCGGCAATTCCCCAGCTGCGACAACAAGACAGCCGCGGCGCGGCGAACGGCGGGGCGGCAACCGCGCGGCTCTGCGGCGGGCCAACCGGAGTATATGAAGGGCGCGTGTGGCAGCAGCGGACAACAGAGCGTGAGGGGCCAGCGTCCCCAGGGCTGTGGCAAGCGGAGGGACACCCACGGGGCCGCGGCACGGCTGCGAAGTACAATGTTGTGCGACCAGGGGCGGCCACACCTGGCGGTACGTGTCTGCCGCAGCTGCGCCCTCCTTGTCCTCGTCAGCGAGGAGGTACGCCTCGAAGCCGCCCACCTGCACGCCCGATTCGAGCCAGAGGGCAAGACACATGGGTCGTGAGGCGCGAACGGATCCAAGGCGGGGTGTACGGACAGCTGCAGGATGCGCAGGGCGCTAGCATCTGCAACGCGTGGAGCGCCAAGGCTGGCGGGTGTGCGCCAAGCGCGACTGCACCTACCAGGTGCCGCCGGGATGCCCGCCGGCCCCCTTCCAATGCGGGGCATCCGCACCCTCTCTCGCGCAGCCCGCAAAACAGTGAGCCCCCACCAACAGGCTCATCACGTCAATCAAAGCGCTAACCCTTGCTGAGTCAACCCCCGAACCCCAGCCTGTGTCGACCCAGCTCAAGCCCCAAGCGCGCCCGCCCGGCGCACCTCCCCCACGCCCCAGTCCGCCGCGTCTGCCTCCTCCCTGTCGTCCACAAACGTCAGCACGCAGTCCAGCCGCGGGTCGCGCGTGATGACGCCGTAGTGCGCCACGGTGTAGTCCAGGCCTGGACACAGTCCGGGGAGCGAGAGGGGCCACACATGACGGACTGTACATGCCGTTTTGCGCCCACCGTCCCCTTTTCTCACACCTCAATATGTATAATAAATATATCTCAAGACAGAAATCAGCAGGGTAAAGATCGAGCTCCCATGGCAAGGGTGTCCGAGCTGTAACCTCTGGTGACGCCCACCTACACCATGCCCCCTCCCACCCCCGCCTGCCTGCGCATTCCGACAGACCTAGCTGGCGAAACAGCCACAGCCGCTCACCTGGCCGCATCCGCCGCACCTCCCCTGCGTGCCCCAGCATGTCTATGGTCGTGAACGCCCGCAGGAGCTTCCCAAACGCGCGGCTCTCAAACAGGCTGCGCCGCACGTCCGCCAGCCGCCGCCCCGCCTCTGCTGCTGGGGGCTCCCCCGCCGCCGCCGCGTCGGCGCCGGCCGCTGCTGCGGCGCCGTTGGCGGCGGCGGGGGTTCCCACATAGCGCAGGTAGCGCTGCTTGTGGGTCGGGCCGACCGGCTCCCAGCCTGAAAAGATGGGGCCAAAAAGATGAGGTGGTGGAAGCACGGCAGGCCCAACGCTTGAATGAAAGGTGGGGGCAGTGTTGGATAGCGAGCGGCCACCGCACGACAAGCTTGCTTTCTCAAGAAACCAGCGACGCGCGGTCAAGGCCAAGCACCGCGCATCTGGCTCATCCGAGCAGCTCCCCTTGGCTCAAACCCGTGCGTGCACCTTCGCTGCAACCGGCGCTGTGCTGCGGCAGGCGGCCGCGCCCCATGCCCTGCGCCGCGTCGGCGGCCGCGGCGGCGGACACGATTGGGTCTGCGACCTCTGGCAGCAGGAACCGCTGCAGCTGCACGCTGCCGCTGTCCTCGAAGCGCGACTGGATCTGTGGAGGGGGGTTTGACGCCGAGACAAGTCAGCTCGCTTCCGGCGGGAGGGGGGGCTGCACCCCAGGGCGCAGCCGCAGCGCCGGCGACGAAACCTTTGAGCCGCGAAAGAGGCTGAGGGCGACGCGAATGGCTTCGCTCGACATGTACGCGACGAAGCGGGGCCCGATGCCGGCAGACGGCGGGTCGCGCCTGCAGCGGCGCGCGCGGCGGCTGACCTTGGGCCAAGCCTTGGAGTCAAGATATGCAGGGTTGACCCAGCGCCGCAGCAGCGCCAGATCATCCTCTGACAGATCACGGTCCGCGGCGCCGCCTGCAAGTGGGGGCCCCACGGGGAAGACGTCTTGCTTGATAACGAAAATTGTGTGGTCAGTTGAGTGGGATGACTCTGAAGGATGAAGTACAAGATGAGAGCTTCAAGATATAAAGGCCCTTGGAGCCCCCAAGATCAGAGCGCCCGAGCCTGGCCGCCCCCTCAATGCCGAGGCGCGCCGAGATCCACACACCAGTCCCTTCCGTGCTCTTCCGCGCGCCTCCCCTTTGAAAAAAATGTTCTCAAGGGGTATCGAACCGGGCGCGTTCAACCCACCCTCGAAGGGCGCGTGCCCCTGGATGCAGTCCTGCCCCGGGTCCATCTGCAGCTGCTGCAGGCTGGCGCTCTCCCTGCCGGCCGGCTCTGCAGGGGCGTGGTACCAGCCGCTAATGGAGAAACGCGGCTTGTCCGCTGACAAGACCTGGCGCATGGGGGTGCAGGATCGCCCGAGCCAGCGCGCAGTTGACACCGGCTGCGGTCGTTCCGTGGGTGCGTGCTGGGGCTGCTGCTACGAGATGACCGCACGGCGCCTTTGCTTTTGCGAAGCTTTAAGCATATGGATGCCTGATGCCGGAGGAAACTTCTGATGGAGCGTTTGCCTCCCTTGGATGTGGTTCATTGTGAGGAGCCCCTCTGGACATCGAGTCACCGAGCCCCTCCGGCCACAACACGCGACGCGTACCTCCTGCACCGAGTGGAAGCTGCGGCCCGGCTGCACCACAAACATGGCCATCGTGTTCCAGAGGGGCAGCAGGGACGTGGTTGGAGCCACCGCGGGCGTGTGCGCCTCGCCTGCAAGGGTGGGGCCGGGGGGCCGTGTGCGCAGGCGTCCACGATTGAGAAAGGCGGCAGCCACCGCCTCTCGCTCCGCTCTCCCAAGTTTCAACGCCGTGACCAACCATCAACACAGCGGCCTTCCTGATCCGTACAAACAAACACACTTGCGAACCACACAAGCGCCGGCCTGGGCGCAAAGCAATGGCGGTGTTCGGCGTCAATCACTCAATGCCCAAGGCGCCATTGACGGGATGACGCAGAGTCAGCGGCGACAGGCCCCTCACGGAACCACAGAATCGCATAAACGCCATCGGCACGCCCACCGTCCACGCAGGGATACAGCTCCAGCGCGCCGCCGTCCTCCTCCCTCCAGGGCTCGTCGGGGTCTGTGAGGTATATGATGTACGACACGCGCCTGGGGGCGGCGGGATATTGTGAGGTTGGGATCGTGTGTGTGTGTGTGTGTTTGTGTGTGTGCCTGGGTGCGTGTGTGTGTGTGTGTGTGCGTGCGTGCATGCGTGAGGTAGAGAAGCTGAATGTCACATGCGCGACTGTGCGTGCGACAAGGGTTGTATGGACGGGCCATATCATGGCGCAGCCGTTCAAGCAGCACCAAGTACTGCGCACCGTGTTCCAATGACATCATCATGACACAGCAGGTGGCCCCCCTTGGCGTACACATTGCAGGAGCAGTCCGTCTTGTCAGACAGCTCCCCACACCCCGTGATGGACTGCACAAAACTGGGGGAAAATGAGAGGGCGGCATGGAGTTCACACATAAAAGACGGGCCACAAACATGCATGTGATGACACGCACGCGCTGGAGACGGCAGGGGCGGCATTTGAGCTTTGATTCGTGTCAGGGCGTCGCAGGCGCACAGCACGGTCAGAATTGGGGATTGGTATGGAGGCCCTTCTGCTGTATAAGATCCAGGAGGCCTCAACAGCAATGACACCAGACCATGCCGTGATCCGACGGACATGCCGGCACCCTGTCAAGAACAATGGCCCCCCCATATAGAAAGGCCTTTTTCAAACCACCCATCCTCCCCCTGGACAGGAGGCTGTGTGCTGCAGCGTGCGAGGCTGCGCAGGGGTGGGGGAGCTCACGCCCTGAACTCCTGGGAGTAGAGCGCGTCCCTCAGCCGCATCAGGGAGGGCAGCTTGGCGGCGCTGGCGGGGTCCAGCTCGTCCAGGTTGGCCAGGTCACCTGTTGCATGATTAGGCGGGTTGGGTGGGAAGGCGACACGCAGGTGACGTAGGGTCGTGAGCGTCTCCGCCACCACCACCACGGCAGCCGCCGCGCCGACGACCCCGCATTTCCAGCCCCGCGGGCCCTGTTCCGACCGTTTGTGCCGGCCTCGCTGCCGCTCCAGGACCCGACACCCAAACCCATGCTCACGCCCTCTGCCCCGCCCCTCGATACCCCGATTCCCCCACGGCCGAGCGCGGAGCCGACCTGTCTGGAAGACCTTGAACAAATCGGTCTCCTTGTAAGTGGCCTGCACGTTGTTGATTACCTCGTCCCTCACGCTCCGCAGCAGATCTGGGTCCGCCAGATCTTCAAGCACCACGTGCGTGTAAGGGCCCGACGCGTCGTGCGCGGCGCGCAGCCGCTTGGCGGACTCGGGGGCGAGCAGCGAGGGGCGGATGATGCCGGGGCGGAGCGGGGCGCCGAGCGTCTTGAGGCGCTTGGCGGGCGGGGCCTCGGCTGGCGACGCGTCCGCGGCGGCCGCGGTATCGCGCACAGCTGCGGATGGGGTTGATGATGGACACCAGGGGCGAGGAGGGGAACATCAGGCCGATGTTCACAGCGACGGCTGAAGTCGCGCTGCGCGGGCGTGGGCATCGCGCGGCGATGCGCGTGCACATCGCGGCGGCTGGACGGCCGCGTGACGAGTGGCCGCGCCAGAGCCACGGGGCAGCCGCAAACGCGTTCATGCAGCGCCTAGAGTACTGAAGTACGCACGTTCAGCCATGTTCTCGCCCAGCACGCGGGCTGGATTGTCGGGATTAGAGTGCGACCACTGATGGAAACACCGTCTTGAACAAGAGTTGTAAACAATCAAAACTTAAACTTTATTTTGACGCCGTGTTTGCGTGTCTGCTCTCTGGGGTGGTTGCAGCAGCAGTCATCGCACCAACACCAGCAAGTACGGTAAAACGCCCTTCATTAGCCGCAGGATATATATGCATAAAAAACAATTGCTTGCGTCGCTGTAATTCGTGTATTCGACGCCATATTGACATCCTCGACTACAGTTCAACACAAGCAGCGGCAGATCATTCAAACTCGTTTGGGCGGTCCAGCAGCATCACGATGCATTTGATGAGGCGTGCCTGTCTTTTGAGCGCCGTGGCACTCTGTGCTGTCGCGTTGGGGCAGGCACTGCCTATGCGCAGCCCGGCGCTCTCGCTGAACGCGCTGGCCGGCTCCCTGCGTGACTTGGACGCTGCCCAAATAATCCTGGCGATTCAGGCACTTCGGTTGCGGCCCATACGCGAGGCGTGGCGCGAGTTTTGGGACATTTTCGGTCCTGGCGGCAAGCTGCACCCGGGCTGGTTCATTGAACACCAGGGCCACCTCTTCATCGAGGGCGGCCTTATGGCCATCATCCTCGTTCTGTTCTTCCAAAGCGGTTATCGGCCCAAGAAGGAGCAGGAGGAGGAGCCCTTGACGGAGAAGGTGGGGCGCAGCAGCGAGCGGGCGAAACCGCAGCAAGCTGCTCGACGCTGAGACGCTGCACCAAGCGGCGTCGCCACCCTGACTCGCTCATCGAGTGTAGGACAGCACCCTGCACGCACATGCGAATTGATCCGGAATGTTCCTGATCAATTGGTTCGCAAGAAGACGTGCGATGCGCGTGTCACTGGGCGCACGCGCAGCTGCGGTTTGCAGCGGTTGAAGCCCTCGACCAGCCCAGCCGACTCGCAGCCGCACCAGACCGGCGACTCTCAAGCCCCCAGGGCCGGTCCCCAAGCGCACGTCCCCTCCCTTTTCTCCCCAGCGCCCCCCCTCCCTGCACAACGCCGACCCCCGCCCATCCTGCGCTACACGCCTTCGCTTGCTTCACCTGAAACCCGACCAACTTCCCGCACCCCCTGAACTCCACCACACCCCACGACACCTACAACAGGAAATCGACGAGCTCTGCCGCGAGTGGAAGCCGGAGCCGCTCGTGCCGGATGTAACAGAGGAGGACCGCCTGCCAGACCCTCCCGTGATTGAGGAGTGGGAGAGCAGCCACTGGGTCACCGTGGCGGGGCGGCGCGCGCTCAACCTGGCGGCTGCGGACTTCCTGGGGCTGGGCAACGACCCGGCAGTCCAGGTGGCGCCGCCCCGCAGCGCGAGGGGGGTTCGGGTTCGGGTGCGGCGGCGGCTAACGGCGATTGTCTGGGCCGTGGTCGGGTGGGCGGTGCTTCGGCTTGGCGCCGTTGCGGCTGCCGCGGCTGTGCGAATTGACGCGGAGAGCGCAGAGCGGAGTGGGACAGCAGCGGCCGCGGAGACGCTGATGTGTGCACGCTTTGTCCCTCCTCTGCTTGAGTGATGTGTTGCTGGACTCACCCCCTGGCGCGTTCCCTGCTCCATCGCGTTTGCTCCCAGGCTGCGGCGCGCGCCACAGTGGAGCGCTACGGCGTCGGGTCTTGTGGGCCGCGCGGGTTCTATGGGACTTTTGACGTGCACCTGCAGGTGGGTGTGTGCGCGCACGTGCCTGTGTGTGTGAGTGTGTGTGTGTGCACATATGTATGTGTGCACACATGAGAGATTGTGTGTGTGTGTTTGTGTGCGCGCGTGCGCGCGTGCGTGTTGCAATCGCCCCTGAACGATGCAAGGCCATGCTTCAAGATTGCAGCAGACACCCACGCGGCGCCGCTGCAGGTCCCACACTGCTTGGGTGGCGCTGCTCAGCGGCCACTCACAAGAGCACCCAGCAACACGCACAGACCACCCCCCACAGACCCCCGCACAACGCGCCATCACCCCTGCGCCCCCCCCCTAGCTGGAGCATGACCTGGCGGCCTTCATGGGGGAGGAGGAGGCCATCATATATTCCTACGACATAGCCACCATAGCCTCCGTCATACCTGCGTTCGCGTCGCGCGCCGACATACTGGTGAGCGCCGCGGCCGCTGCCTACTCAGCGCGGGGCCACGCCAGCCGTCGCGCGCGCGCCGGGGCCCCCGCGCGCGGCCCCGTCACCCTCGGGTATTTCATGACAGCTTCTGCCCAAGGCACGGCCCCCCTTACCTTAGCCTCCCAAACAGTCCTGCTGCGTCATCGCCCGCCACAACGCTGTCACACCGCCGCGCCCCTGACCTCCATCCCCGGCCCCCCGGCCAGGTGATGGACGAGGGCTGCAGCTACCCAATCCAGCAGGGCGCCAAGCTGTCGCGGGCGCGCGTGTACACGTTCAGGCACAACGACGCGGCGGACCTGGAGGCGCTGCTCGAGCGCATCGAGGCAGAGGAGCGGCGGGAGAGGTGCGGGCGGACGGGGGGGCGGCATGAAGGGGGGGCACGGGTGCGTTCGCTGGGCGGCGGCGGCGGCGGCGGCGGGGCCTCCTCTGGGCAGGGCTGACAGAGTCGGGCGGGCGGCGCCGCGCGTCTGCTGGTTTTCGCCTTCAGTTGCCAAGCGGCAGCTTTGTGCCGGCAGGGCCCGATGGTGTGAGTGTGGCAACAGGCCGGGCCAAGGGCGGGCTTCCTGCGCTGGGGCCATGATCGGGCGCCGCTCCCCTGGCCGCGCACCTGCGGCCGCGCCAGGGCCGGCCTTTACAGCGCCCACCCCTGCGCGTCACGCCGTCTGCCGCCGGGCAAAAAGCTCGTGCGTCCGAGCGTCTCAGCTGGGCCCCCTTCCATCCCTCCATTTCTGCACCTCTGCCCTCCCCTCTGCCCCGACCCCGCAGGAAGCCGCTTGTGCGGAAGATGATTGTGGTGGAGGGCGTCTACAGCAACACAGGGGAGGTCGCGCCCCTAAAGTGAGCGGCACGACGCGCGTGCGTCCGCACGACACGTGTGCTCGTCCGTTCCTCTCAACCACCCACAGCAGCGAAGGCGCGACTGGTTGCGCTGGCCCCTCCCAGGGGCGACGTCGCGGCACCGCGGCTGTGCCAGGCGCCTGGCGCTGCCCGGCGGTCAGCTGCCAGGCCTTCGGGCGACCTGCGCGCGCGCGCGTGCGTGTGTGCGGGCGTTCCTATGTCACCTGCCTCCAGAAATAAGCCCCTCTCCCCGCCCGCATACCACCCCCAACCCTACTCCTCTCCCGCATGCCACCCCAACCCCTAAAACCTCCCCCATGCCGCCCCCAAACCCAATCTTACTCTCTCCCCGAAAGGCGCATCCACGAGCTCAAGGAGCGCCACAAGTACCGCCTCTGTGTGGAGGAGACCCACAGCTTTGGGGTGATGGGCCCCACGGGCAGGGGCGCCTGCGAGGCGGCTGGGCTGCGGCCGGGGCAGGTGCGCGGCCCGCCGGGCACGTGTGCGTCGGGCCGTGGGTTGGGGTTGGGGGGGTATCAAGGGAGGGTTGCGAGCGGGCTAGCGGTGCGTGGGTTTGTGGAGCCACGAGGGTTGCGGAGAACCAGGCCGCAGCCCGTTGTCATTCGAAACTCGTCCTATTGCTGGCCTGACAAGCGTTCCACAAACCCACACTCGTCCTCACACCCAAGCACACAACACACATGAGCGCGCGCGCACACACACACATACACACACACACACACGTGCACGTGCACACGGAACGCAGGTCGAGATCATTTGCGCCTCCATGAGCGGCGCCCTCGGCAGCGTCGGCGGCTTCTGCGTCGGCCACAGCGAGGTGGGCGCGTGGAGGGCTGGGAGACTGCCCATACACCCCCTGCCCGGCTGGCGCGCAGCCCGTCTCTGCCCACCAGGGCCCTCTCCCTCCAGCTCGACCTCCTCCCAGTCTAAATAGCGTCGTTGGTCTCCATCCTGCACAAGAGCTGCGTTGCCTTGGACCGCTCAATCACGCCTTGAACTCCGCCTCCCATCAAAAAACAAAACCGCCCGCCAGGTGTGCGACCACCAGCGGCTGTGCGGCCAGGGCTACTGCTTCTCCGCCTCCCTGCCCCCCTACCTCGCGACCGCCGCCATCGAGGCGCTCCGCATCCTTGGGACCCCCGACGGCCAGCTCCTCGCGTCCAAGGTTAGAGCGGCGTCCTCCGCGCTGCGCGCCGCGCTCGCATCGGGCGTCCCCGGGCTGCGGCTCGCGGGCGCGGCGGCCGGGCCCGGCGCGGCGTCGCCGGTGCTGCACTTGCATCTGGCGCCCGGCGCGGGGGCCGGCGGCGGCGGCGGGGGCGCGGCGGCGGCGGGGGCGCTGAGGCGGGTGGCGGACGCGCTGTTGAACGAGCACGGGCTTTTTGTCGTGATGCCGAGGTACAGCGTGCTGGACGAGGTCCACCCCCCGCCGTCGGTCAAGATCGTGGTCAACGCGGCGCTCGCCGAGGAGGGGCGCGTGGAGCAAGTGGCGCACGCGGTGCGGGAGGCGGCGGCGGGGGCGCTGCTCAGCGGCAGCTGACTGGCGGCCGGCGGCGCCCTGTGGCAGCACGCAGCAGCGGCAAGTAGTCAGACAGATAGAGGCTGCAAGGGCCTGCCCCCTTGCCGGGCCGGACGAATTGGCCCGACGAAAGGCAGCCTCGGCGCGTGCTGCCGGCAGGGAGCACAGTGAACTCGTTGCGTGCGCCGCTCTGTGCGCCTTTAAACCCTCCACAATTTTGAGACGGTCTGTGAACCCTACTGGCGCCGACCTGCGCACGCTCTTGCACCTGACAACACACAATTGCTGAGTTTGTTCCACCACCGTCGCATGTACTTCTGGCAACTTGTCGTGCACATGTCTTACCTCCCTGTGACCCATTTGGTCGAAATGACCAGACGACGTTTTGAAGGCATCTCTGCATGTAGGATGGTCGGCTGAGTAATGGCACTCACGAGCCGGTGTCCTTGGTTCCGCTGCAGCGAGCAGCGGAGGTCAGGTCAGAGCTGATTGGGGCGTCAGCGCCCGCGTCCCTGGCATGACAGACCCGCAAGCACAGCGAGAGCACGCAGGTGCGTGCCGCAGCTATAAGCAGCTGTCGAGGCCGAGCGAGGCCGTGGCGCCGACCTTACCATACATCTACGTCATGCTGCTTGGCCCGTCCAATAGTTCAATCTGCACAGGGGCCAGACACGCGCGAGGTTGTGTGGAATGCCGCCGAGGGCCCGGGTGATCGCCCGATCAGCAGGCGGCGCTGTGCCACAGCCCACACCAATGCAGACTCGGGTTTGGCTTCATTTGAGCGAGCAGAAGAGCCTCGTGCGCCACGGGACCCGGGTGCTCGGGCGGCATTGCTCTGCAACGCCCTGCGCATGCTGGTGTGTACGTGACGGTTGGGCAGACCTGGTGGTGGCTTCTGGGCCCACACAGTAGGTGCGGGTTGACACGCCAGCCGCGTCGCAGGCTCACGAAATCTGGGGGAAGAGGGCGCAGGGAGCGGGTTGGGGGACCTGCGTTGGATGAACGTTCCTCTGGCTCGAGCCGTTGCTTGACAGCAGGCTGTGGAAGCTCATCAGCGAGGCGGCTCGCGACAGCTGGACCTGCGTGCATGGGCGCTCAAACAACTTGGACAGCGGCACCCTGCAGTACATGACTTGTAGCAAAGCTTGCCCACAGGTAGAGCATTGAGGGCATAGGGTCGTGTGTTGTGTATTCTGGGCAGTCCAGCCAGCTTCGGTGGGGGCCACAAGAAAGGGATGCTGTGCCGATGGGAAAGGGATGCTCACCCCGTAAATGGTGACTCCATCCGCTTGCGTTACCGTATGTTTGCCACGATCCTGGCGTTGTTCAAATGAACCATACATGACAGCCGACGCACATTGATCCAAAAGATTCCACATATGTGGGCCTCAGCACTGTCGCAGCAGCCATACCCTACCGGCGTCGGCGTAGTGCAAACCTGTCACTGAATGTTGTGGTCCAAGTTCAAAGCTAAACAGCGTGGTCTCCCTGACCAATACGAATTGTGTGTGAATGCTTGGATTGCGACCCTCGCCTCGTGCACACACCGACACTCGAACCGTGATCTCATCAAGCGGACCCATGGAGGATCCATTGCACAGCTCGGAGGTTTTGGCTGCTCGGTTGCAGCTTTCGGAGCTGCAAGACCGCCTGCAGCGCTGCTTTGACGCCCAGGTAGCGCTCACCAGCTTTCTGAGCTGCGGCGCAGACGTGGATGCAGACATGTCGGACACCGTGCTGATGGCGGATGAGGCCGGAGAAGCTGAGCTGCTGCAGGAGCAGATTGCCGTCTTGGCATCGCTCATCGCCAGCGAGGAGGGGCGGGACGCGGCCGCGCGCATGCAGGCTGACGAGGCCGCGGCGCAGGAGGCGTCCGCGGCCCTCGCCGCCGCGCTGGACGCGCGCGAGCGCTGGGACGCGTCGGTGCTGCGCGCGCACGACGCGGCGTTCGCGGCGGCGCTCGCGACGTGCGACGAGGACATGTGGGAGGAGCAAGGCGACCTGCTGGAGCGGCCGCTCGACATATCAAGCCGGCCCGTGGTGCCTGCTGCTGAGGGCTGCGCAGGTGGGCGGCGTGGGGGACCCTTGCTGGACTGCGCAGAGCCGATGACCGGATCCGAACGCACCTCGGCACGCACTGGGCCGCTATCCATCGTTGCTTGCAGTTCTGCCTGTGCTCAGTGTGCTGTGATGTGGACGTGTGTATGCGGGTTGCCGCTTGAAGGGTATCCTTCAGAGGTGTACGAGACCCGCCTTCGCCCATCACCACCAATCTGCAGGTCCCGCCCCAAGCGCAGACTGCACAGGCGCCGCTGCCAGCGGCAGCCGCCTGCAGCAGGCGCCGCCGCGGCTGTCGGCCGGCAAAGCGCCCCAGCGGCCCCCTCTGGCGGGGCACCCCGGGCAGGCCAAGGGCAAGGGCCGGCCGCAGGAGCTACGGGCTCAGCAGGCACAGGCCGGCGCAGCAGGCGGCGCCGGTGGCGCCGACTGCGCGATCTGCTTCGAGCGCTTCCCGCTGCACGTCATGCTGTCCGCCCGGCTGCCGGAGGGTGCCGCGTCCTCGTCAGCGTCGCGGGGGACGTGCGGCCACCACTTCTGCGCCGGCTGCATGCGGCAGTACGTGCAGGGCGTGGTGCAGGTGCGGCCGCCGCACGCAGCTATTTGGCCGGCCCTTGCCGCCGCAGGCAACAGCTGTTTGACCGCTGCAGGCCGTGCCTGCTGACAGTGCTGTCCTTTCGCGGTCAGCAGCTTCACAGGTCGCACCGGGCAGGCTTGCACCCGCGCACGCCCCTCCCCTGACGCGCCCTCCGCCCGCGCCATGGCACGGACCACGCGCCCTCAGGCCCGCAGGTACCCCATCGCGTGCCCCAGCCCCGGCTGCGGCCGTGATCTGGCGCACGACGACGTCCTGCATCTGCTTAAGGACGTGCCGCGGGACCTGCAGGTGCGAGGCGCGAGGCGCACACTGCGAGGGGTGCTGGGATTCGGCCGCACACAGCGCTGCGCCGCGCCAGCGCGCTGGGCCGCTGTTGGGGACGACGGGCACCAGGGGGGCTGAAGGGGTGTTGGTTGCGCTGTTGCGCTCCAAGAGGCGCTGTGTCGTACCCACCGGCCAAGAGCACGCAACCCCCACTCTCGAAGCTATCCCACCCGGCACTCGCTGGCTTGCCCCCATGGATGCTGGCACCATGGCGCCACCTAGGCGAACGCAGCAACCAACTTTCGCGCGCGATTCACCGCTTGTGCTGCAGGCGTACGAGTGTCTTGTGGCCGAGGAGTCCATCGAGTCGTCGCTGCGCACCTACTGCCCCTACAAAGACTGCTCGTGCCTGCTGGAGCGCCCAGACCCCGAGGAGGGCGACGGGCAGGAGGGGCCCTATCAGTGCCCCTCCTGCCACCGCCGCTTTTGCCTGGCATGCAGCATCACCGGCTGGCACACGGTGTGTGTGGGGAAGGGGAGAAGGCCCATCCACGTGGTGCAACGGCTAGCGCAGAAAACTGCAAGGCGTGCAGCGTGCCGTGACGCTGCCTGTTCTTGCGCCAAGCCGCTGGTGCCAAGACGCGCTCCTCCACCCCTGCTCGAATGGTGGTCGCCTCCCCTTCTCACGCCAGGGCCTCACCTGCGCCGAGTTTCAGGCGCTCCCCCCCGCCCTGCGCTCCGTGGAAGACGCGGCCATGCTGCAGCTCGCAAAGGCGCAGCAGTGGAAGCGGTGCCCCGCGGCCGGCTGCGGGCACGTCGTAGAGCGGTCGGAGGGCTGCAACCACATGCGCTGCCGCTGCGGCTGCTCGTTCTGCTACGCCTGCGGCGCGCGCTACCAAGACGAGCGCCCGACAGCCGACAACGCGCACGGCACGCCCGCGTGCCGCTGCCCGCTGTTCTCGGTGCCGGAGGAGCCCGGGGAGGTGGCGGCTGCGCCGCAGGCGGTGCTGCTGCGGCAGGCGGAGCAGCGGCCGTTTCGCAACGGGCGGCGCGTGTCACGCACGCCATGCCGCCACTCGCAGTCGCTGTACGACTGCCCTCTGGGCCCGGATCGCTGTTGGTTTTCGCACATAGAGGACGAGATGTGAGGTTTGGCCGCGCACATGCACACACCTGCCCTGTGGCGCGTGCGCACGTGCACGCGTGCCCTCCTGCCCTGTAGCCGGCACACTGCTCCCAGTCGCGCTGCGCTTGACCAGAGCGCCAGAAGGTAGCCATTTGTACGTGGCACGTGGTATGTGGCAAACGGTTCGCCTATCGCGAGCGGGCGTCAACCGCTGGATTGCTGCAACTGTATAGTTTTCTCTGTACAGAAGTGTGTGGCTTGTCGCCATGGATGGATGCTCTGGAACAGGGTGCCAAGCGCACTGCATCCATACCCTGTGGCGTTTGACTCTCACTCGGCTGTCACCATGCTCCTGTCTTGCCGGTGCACACACAACTCGATGCCCCACTGCCTGCAAACCTGTGCGGGCAAGGGCCTGGGATCCTGATCACTCGACAACATCACTCACCTCGTAGTCAACGAGCCCATGAATCTAAAGCGAAGCAGACCGAGAGCTTATGTGCTCTCTTTTTGCCATTTCAAAATGGCAACTAATTATTGCATTCAATGCACCACCCATGGTGCGGCTCGCACATCAAAAACAGTTGTGGCTCCACTTTGCAGCGCACGCACGGCACACGCGCTGGCAGCTTTGGCGGCTGCGGTGCCATCTTAGGATTGATGCAGCCTTCAATGTCGCGTCGCTGTCAAATCTGTCGTAACGACCCTTGCAAATGTCAGCCTGGGTGACCCCGCGCAATTTCGTCTCTTGCACTTGCAAAGTGTCAGCGTTAGGAACGGTTGTCCGCTGCCCTCGGACGGATTCCAATAGGTTTGCTGCGATAGTCGATCTTGTGGATCGGTATAGGGCAGCCCCGCAGAGATCATTGCCATAATTGTGTTGGTCGTGCCGGCAGCACCATGGAGGCCCCCAGTGCTGATATGCACGCCGCTTATTATGGATTTCTCTGCGAATCGGATGAAATGCCGGCAGTGGCCCCTTTGGCGCAGCAGGACCTCGATGCAGCGGCACTCGCGGGGGCCACGACCAGCAGCGGCAAGGGCCGAAAGCGCACCAAGCAGCTCGACGACGTGGACAGCGATGAGCTTTCGGATGAAGACGAGGAGGGGGGCAGGCGGTGTGGCAAGAAGGGCAGGGCGCCGGGTTCTGATGCTGCCCGCAACAAGGCCAGCCGTGAGAAGGCTCGGAGAGAAAAGATCAACGACAGGTGGGTTTTGCAGGATGCAAGCAGCTCGCTGAGCGTGCTGCAGCGGCGCTAGAGGGCGTTGCGTGGTCGCATGCCGTCGCTGCACGTTTCCGGTACGATCACATTTGCGGCAGCCCTGCGGCGTTCTAGCTTCGGGCTCATTGCCACGCAGCTGAGTTGAAGAGATGTCGCCTGCTGATTGGAAGCCCTCCTCTCTGCAATGCCTGGACGTGCGTCCTGCAGGTTTGTGGAGCTGGCGCAGCTCGTGGAGCCCAACAAGGAGCCCAAGACAGACAAGCTCACCGTACTTCAGGAGGCGATCCGCACAGTGCAGCAGCTGCAGGTGGAGAACCACCAGCTCAAACAGCTGAACAAGTTTTTGGAGGTGGGCGTCAGCAACTGGGTAGCACGTCTGTTGTGAGCTCAGCATCCAGCCCTGCGCATCCAGCCTGGTCTGCGTGGTGCCTCGGGGGGAAGGGGAGTGGGTGGGAGATCCTGTGCCATCCTGCTTCATACACGGACGCGTGGACGGCCATGACGCCTGCGACAGCGTGTTTGCTGACATCTTCAACCGGATGATTCGCTGGCCAACCTCTGTCATTCTTCACGCCCACAGGAAAAGGCCGCCAACCTGGAGCGCGATCGCGCACAGGCCATGTTCTTCCAGATGCAGAGCGGTGTGCTGCAGCAGCAGGGGGGCGGCATGGCCGGCGGCGGCATGGCGGCAGGCGGCATGGGCGGCGGCGGCATGATGATGCAGCAGCCGGTGGGGGGCATGATGATGGGCCCGCCGGGCATGATGGGCATGATGCAGCCGGCAGGCATGATGACGCAGCAGCAGCAGGTTGTGCCTCCAGATGTGCAGGCGCTGTCCCGTGCGCCGTCAGGCAGCACGCAACCTGCCAAGTTATTGCAGCAGGACCAGCAGCAGACGGCTCAGCAGCAGCAGCAGCCGCAGCCGCCGCAGCAGCAGCAGCCCTCGCAGCAGCAGCCGCAGCTGCAGCAGCAGCAGTCGCTTGCGCAGCCCCTGCCATCCATGTGGCAGCAGCAGCCGGCCGGCCCTGACCCTCAGGCAGCAGCACAACAGCAAGTTATGCTGCCGCCCGGCTTTGCGCCGCCCGTGGACAGCAAGGCGATGATGGCGGCGGCAGGCGGCGCCATGATGAGCAGCGGCGGCATGGGGCAGGGCGGCATGCCCATGTACTGGCAGAGCATGGTGCCGCCGACCATGCTAGATGCGAACCAGGATTCGCTGCTGCGGCCGCCGGCTGCTTGATGCAGCTGCGCTCGCTCGCCATGCGCAGGGCACCCTGCGCCTGCCGACGCATGCCCATCAGCCTGCGCATGCATGGGCTTTCCCTGGATTGCCTGACTTTTTCAGCGTGCCCCGCGGCGCCCCATCCGCCGCTATGAGCGGTGGCAGCATACGGGTTGTGCTTCGGTGCGCGCAACTGTGCAGCGCCCGCTCCCGCCCTCTGCGCTTGTACCCCCGCCAAGCCCCTTGTGACTGCGTGCATGGGGCCTACCGATTTTCAAAGGCGCAGGAGCTGTCTGTTGTGTCTTGATTGCAGCTTAAACACTTTTACTTCATGCACAAACCGCCTCTCCCAAGTACATGAGTGTCTCCCCCACATCTAGTCCCCCCTTGACGACCCCGCCTGCAAAGGATAGGCTTAACCCCAGCCCACCGAAGCACTTTCTGTGCTTATTGAACGTAATCACAGGCGACCACACCCTCGGTGCTGCTTGTGTGCTATGCGCCCCAATTGGCGCGGCCACAAACGTCGCGCAGTGCGCGGCACCAGTGTCGGGGCTTGCCCTCGCCCGCACATGCGTGCGTCCATCGTCCGCGCCAACGCCCACTCGCGCCCATACATACACATGTAACGCAACTCACAGCTTGGTGACTCATCTACATGCTGTGGTGTGGCAGGCTACCATGCCACATCAGGGTCTGTGCATTCTGGAGTGAGAGCTCCCCACCAAACCCTACCCGTCGCGCATTGGAGGTCGCGCATCTGCTCACCCAGTCCCATTCGTGCAGGGGGTATGTGTTGATGTAACCAAATCAGCACCTACCTGAAATCTTGATTTCTGTGAGGGCTGCAAGGGGCTGTAGATGAAGGGGGGCGGGAGCATTGAAGCAGGAGAGCAGCGCTTCTGTTGGGCAGCATCAGCAGCAGTGACTGGTCGCCGCCGATGCCGCACCTGCGCGCCACGCTGCCTTGGCACGTGTCAGCAAGCATATGGCATGTGTATTTTTCAAACAGCTTGCGGCGAACATTTGCTGCTCAACGCCGCCACGAGCGTTTATCCCGGCACTCGCACTGTGGAATCCAGTCCGTAGGTGGTGTCTCAATCACCGGCGATCTATATTTGACCTGTACTTTACACCTTTGCCTGTCACTTCCTACAGTGGTCGCGTAAAGGCGCCCACCAAGTCAGAGTGATCTGTATTCATTGGAGAAAGAGCCCTTGCTGCCCCAGCCCAGTCCTTTCCGTCCCGGCCTCGCCGTGTTGAAGGTCCCGCTGTGGGTACAACGCGGCCCACGCACTTGAACAAGTACACTCGCAGCACCAGGCCCCTCGTGCAGCCGCAGCATTCGCAGCCCAAGCGCCGCCCGTGCGACTCGCAACCATGGCGCCCTCAATGACTCTGGCTGCCCACCCAACAATCCCCAAGCCTGAGGGCCCCGTGATGGTGAGCGGCAGCGCAGCGGCGATGCATGTTTCAGCCGGCTTTCGGTTGCTACGGCCAGACGCGTCGTGGCGGTCACTTTTACGTGCCTCTACGTGCTGGCGGCGCTCTGCATCTAAGCCTCTGGCTGGGAGCGCTTGCAGCATTGAGTTTGCTCTTTTGGCACGCACTTGAGTAGCAGACCGATGCTTCTGCTGCCAACTGCGCAACGGCGTGGGCGTGGCGAGGGGGCGCGCCTGCAAGTGCGCTCGCCGTGCACGTGCGCATGTGCGCATGTGCGCTCGGAAATGCGTACACACAGTACCGCCCATCCATGCGTGCATGCTGCGCCGTCTGTTTGCACCCCCAGGTGTGCATTCTTGATGGATGGGGCGTCAATGTGGAGGATCAGGTGCGCCGACCGCATGCAAAAAGCGACTGTCACCAGATGCTGCGCACGGTCCCGCGAGTTGCAAATCATGGTGCATGCCGTGGCATGGAAGGGCGCGCTCCCACGCCGCCGGAGCAGTGCTGCATGGAGTGCATTCTGGCAGAATCTGCGATGTGGATCGCGAACGCCCGGGTCGGCACAGCCTCCTGCCTGTATGTCTGCCTGTATGTCACTCCCCACACGACGCCGGCTTTGATGCACACCAGGCTCGCTCACGCCTGCGCCCCCCGCCAACGCGCGTGCTCCCCGACTTGCACCCTGCAGTACAACGCCGTCTTCTCCGCGGACACCCCCAACACGGATGCCCTGAAGGCCGTGCCAGAGAGGTGCGGTCTCCTGAAGGCGGGGCCTTCAGCTTTTGAGGGACCAAAATCAGGGGTGGGCGCCCAGCAGGCGCTTCCTGGCAGCCCTGGTTCCCTCTAACGTGCAAGCCTGCGCCAGACGTGGAGATTGCGACTTGCGTTCGTCAGGGCCGAGGTCGCCCAAGCGCGCTGCCTCGATTGTCATCCAGCGCGCGTGCATGGTGCGGCGCCCGCCCTGCCCCATAGCGCCCCGCCCCCCCCGGGCCGGCACCGCGCGCAGGTACCGCTCCGTGAAGGCTCACGGCACCGCGGTCGGGCTGCCCTCCGACGCCGACATGGGCAACAGCGAGGTGCGGGGCGCCCAGGGAGCAGGGGCGGCAGGCGCCGCGGGCGCTGCGCTGGCCAAAGCAACGGCGGCGGGCGATGAAACAGCAGACTCGTTCATGTCCGCTCGCTCTCTGAGGGTTTGAGGCGCATGCCTTTGCAGATTTCAGAAGCGCACACGCATGTGCACGCCGCATGCCCCTTGATTCCTGTTGGCGTTCAAAGAACTCACGGCTGCATCCCATCACGCCGCATCTCATCTCGCCGCGTCGCATCGAACCCGTCCGCAACCAAACGCCGCTGCCCCCCCCCTCCACATCCCCGCAGGTCGGCCACAACGCGCTGGGCTCCGGCCAGGTGGTGGACCAGGGGGCCCGCCTGGTGGACATCGCGCTCGAGACAGGCAAGATGTACGAGGGCGCCGGCTGGAAGCTGATCAGCGAGGCGTTCGCGGACCACACGGTGCACTTCATTGGTCTGCTGTCGGACGGCGGGGTGCACTCGCGCTACGACCAGCTGGTTGGGTGCATCAAGTGAGGGGGGGGGGGTGTTGGGTTTTGGGGGGCGACGGTTTGGGCTGGGACGTGCTGGCGTCGCGGGAATGGTTGGAGCAACCCAAGATTGTTTGGGAGGGTTGCAAGCAGTAGAGTGGTTTTGGGGTGGGGTCGCAGGGGAGCGGCATGCTTGGCGTGCAAGGCCAATCGTTGAAGTGCATGCGTGAAAGACTACGCGACCTGGCAGCATCGTCAGATCGCGCGGCAAGAGTAGTGGTTACCGCGACGCGCGCAAAGCCGACGATTAAAAGGAGCAAATGCAGCATCAAGGGTCGCTCTCGCGTCATCCCGGGCGTCACTCAGCGCCAGCATCACACGCACCCCGGCTCCGCCCCTCACCGCCCTCCCCCCCCCC